GTAGTAGTTTTAACTATTCTGCCTAGTTATGATTCTGAGAATTGTTATTGTACCATAAATATTGCCAAAACCTGAAGTAAAGTTGTTTGTCAATTAGTTCTTTTTTTAAATGATAACTCTGTAATGGCAACATGTTTCGCCGGTTATACGTACTTCTTACCAGAGCGTTGAACTTGGTGTTTAGATTAAATATACTCGGCAACTAATGCATTTCTTGACTTTCGTAAGATGAAGTAACTCTGTGAGTAAATGCTGAAGAAAATCTTTACAGCCTGCATGATATTCAGTATTAAAACTCTGGTCTTGAAGTTTATAGAGTTCTAAGAGTTGATCAAGCGGCCTGGGTAGATGAAGAAACCTTCACAAGGCAATATTAAAGCTTTTAAGCTAACTGGCTAACGACTGAATATTCATCTACTTATGGTTTATTAATTAGCGTAATGAAAACCGAACAAATGAGAAATGTAGTGAAATTGAGAATGAATTAGTCATCAATTCTTGGAGTTCATCTGGAGGAATACTGACCAATGCCAACAAGAACGAAACTGGGGTTGAGTGGGATTTCCCACAGTGCTGATTTCAGACCAATATGAATAAATCAAAATATGCTGAGACTAGTCATGAGAATTTTCGGACCAAGTTGAAGACTACGACGTAATATTATGATACTCGTATAGTATCAATATCCAATGTAACCTAGCAACAAACATGAATTTAATATATATATATATATATAAATATATAAATATATATATATGAACATAGAGAAGACGGAGATGATGAAGACAACCAACCAACAGCAGTAACAATCAGCATCAATCACTATCAACGGGAAGAATTTGAAGGTCACTTCCTTCACTTATCTAGGTAGCATCGTTTCAACTACAGTCACCTGGACGGATGAAGATGTCAAATTCAGATTCGGAAAAGCAAGGCAGACCCTCATCATTCTGAAATCAGTTTGCGAATCTAATGCATTCAGCATAGACAACAAAATTCGGAATTTTAAGGCAACTAGTGCTTCTATATGGGTCACAAACTTGGTGTGTGGGTCACGAAAAGCATTTCCAACAGGCCAGTGCAGACTTTGATCAACATCTGCCTTCGTTTCATATTGAAGATGAAATGGTCAGAAAGAATTAGTAACAAGAAACTCTGGGAACATACAAATCAAGAACCTGTCGGTCAACAAATATACAGAAAATAGGGGTGGATTGGGCAAACGCTGAGGTGATTGTTAGGTGACATTACACACCAGGCCCTCGAGTGAGAACCAACGAGTTGGGCATCCGAAGATGACATGGAGAAGGAGATGAAAGCTTATGGGCAACTGTGGAGACAACCGACGAGGACTGCAGAAAACAGGAAAAAATGGAGATGTGCTATTGAAGCCCTATGTTCCACTCAGAACCCAAGGGAATAATAATAGAAATGATATCTTAGTGGACAGATATCAATATACAGTGTTGAGTAGCCAATAACGTACGTACTGATCTGATGTTTTGAATACGTAATCACTAGGCTAGGAGAGTGTGCATCACGTGATAAACATTTTATTATTATTATTGACCTGGAGGAAAAATCAGGTAGGACTGCTGGCTGGCTGGATTCAACATAGAACTTGGCACCGAAGTGCGGCAGTTCGAGTTGCCACGTTCCAAATAGCACACAAAGGAAGACAAGAAAATGAGTGAAGAGAATCAATAGAGTTTTGACAGGTATAAGAGTGAAACAGAATGAGTAATGCTAGAAAGAAATATGAAAGATTACAGAGACTGAATACATCTGCGCCGTTGACAACGATTTTGAGCAGTGTCACCTATTGTCTCCAGCCATTGATTCTTAGAGTTCCGAGGGCCCCGACCCGGAATTCTGCATCTCCCTACCTGACCCACTTTAACTGTCAGGGATTTCATGGATTGATGCAATGTTTTTGTTTGGCCACCACTTACTCTTTTCAGACCTGCACATATATCAGCTAGGCATGCGCAGCACGTGACCTAGCCATCTCAATCTATGTAACTTTATAGCCTCTTCGATTGATTTTCCCTCTTTGCCCAACACTCTACGCCTAACGTCAACATTACTTACCTTATTATACCACCTAACGCGAGAAAGAGATCGTAAACATCTGTGGTCAAAAACAGACAACCTTTTCATGTCTTCAACTCGTATTGGCCATGTTTCAGAGCCATAGAGAAGGACGGAGCGAACTGCTGAGCAGTACACACGTCCCTTGGTTGACAGCCGGATGTCACGCCTACGCCAGAGACGGTGTAAGTTAGCGAAAGCAGCCCGAGCTTTTGGGATCCGTGCTGTGATTTCGTCACCAATCAATCCGTTGGTGCTGATACAACTTCCCAAATAGGTGAAGTGGTCAACATGTTCTATCACTTCACTCCCTATCACTAAGCTAGGAGTTGACGTAGTCCAGTCCTGTAGCAGCATCTTACATTTCACAGGGGCGAATCGCATGCCAAACATACGAAGATTGCTGCTCAAGGTGTTCAGAAGACTCTGCATTTTGTCAGCATCTTCCCCTAACAGGACTATGTCGTCTGCATATTCTAAGTCCATAAGACTATTCCCTGGTAACAAGTCGATTCCTGAGTCTTTAAGTTCAGTTAAGGATACTTCAATTAGCATATCTATGATGAAGTTAAACGGAGATGGGGAAAGTGGACATCCTTGACGGACACCACTGGTTGTTATCAATTCAGATGACAGTTCCCTTACACGGCTATGTGAGTTTGAGTAGAGTGCCTTGATTAATGCAATGTACTTTCTTGGCACTCCTTTGACAATCATACATTGCCATAGTACCTCTCGATCCACGGAGTCGAAGGCTGCCTTTAAGTCAAGAAATATGGCAATTGTTGGACGCCTAAAAGTGTGTCTATGTTCTAGGATCTGTCGGAGAGTGAAGATATGATCTATGCACCCTCTAACTGGCCTAAAGCCGCTTGATTTTCTCTCGTTTGTTCCTCCCGAGTTCGGCTTAGTCTGTGCATGATTACTGAGCCTAGGATTTTAGAGACTATGTTCGTCAGGCTGATTCCTCTATGATTATCACATGAAGACTTGTCTCCCTTCTTGAATATTGGTATAATAAGTGACTTACTCCAATCTGATGAAACCGTCTCTGATTCCCAGACGTTACCTAGTACCTTAGTTAAACTATATACTAGTATGTCACCCCCATATTCAAACACATCCGGAATAATTCCATCGGGTCCTGCTGCTTTGCCTCGTTTCAAATTACAGATAGCTTTTGTGACCTCACTTACAGACGGCGGGCCAGTGTCTATATCCCATTCGGGTGTGTGCTGGATGGCGGGGAGGCTCAGTGTGGCTGTAGGCAAGTTAAACTGTTCCTCGAAGTGTTCCTTCCAGCGTTCAAGGCGTCTATCCTGAGAGCTAATTAAGGAGCCATTTTTCTTAGAAGTAGTCTCACTTATGATTTGCCTTCTCCCACCTGTTTCCCTGATGAGTCTAAAGAGTTGCCTATCGCCGATGCTTTTTCCATCGGCGAAAAATAAGGTAGGAGCTCTATTTCATCTAGTATTTGAGTTTGTTTCCATTCGTTAGATAGATGTGTCTACACAATTGAAAGAACTTTTTCATCAATGCATATTAACGGCAAATATTCTAGGCAGATGTTGAAATACAGACATCATGTAAGCTCTTAAATTTGCCTAACTTGCAAGAGTAGCAATCTTCAGGTAAATATTGTCTTGAAACGAAGTTATACAAAAGTTGATTGTTAGTGTTAAAGGCAAAAATAGTTTGTTGTTATCAATTTCTACTCTTATCGGTCAACTTCGAATGACATGAAATGCCCTGTATGAAGGGGATTTAAAATATTATCTTCTGAAGACTTTAAGTAAAAAGGTGAATCTTCAAAATACTTCTACTTATACGACTGTAGAGGCTTTAACTGAAAACTAGTCTAATAATAGTTTCGAGTTGTAAGTTATCACATGTTGATTACCTCACGCAATTCAGACGTTGTGTTACTTGATTTGAATGGATGACAGATGAAGTCTGGTTAAGGAAACAACAATTTCTGCATTTTTCATAATTCTGAAGTCAAGCAGTTCGATCGAATTCTTTTAGTTGTATAATGGGTCAGTGACAGTAGGATAAGTATAAAAATACGATCGAATTAGAAAAGAAGTGGATATTTTCGAAGACTGACAATTTCTAACCTCTCCTCTGCAGAATAGTCCTTGTGATCATTAACGCCATTACACGTCTTTCGATTGGCAGTATAACTTCATTCTGTAACCAACGTTAAGGTAAAGGCTACTTAGCTCAGCTCTTCTTAGTCAATCGATCTTTGCGATATGACATAATCTAAAGGGACAATCGTATCAATTAGTGCATACCGTTGACTCATTAGAATCTGCAAGCCGACAGAAACGACAAAATAACACTTGTCAGTGGAGTATTCAACTACTGCTGTAAACGACTTATTATCGCATGTTAAGCGAATATACTTGGAAGTTTGTGTAAATTTATGTGTCTAAAATAGTTTACCAGCATTTAAACCGTTATTCAATAGAAATCCATCTATGTTTTGAAACGAGAGAGAATTAAATTCTTGTATATTTCAATCTACCTTCAAGTGTTGGTTTGCATGGATTTGTTTGATCTCAAGTCAGATCAATTAGAGAATCACTGAAGACCAGTGAGCACTAGAAGGCTGTCTCGACCCACCCTGGGACTCCTCAGAAGTACACACGCTTTACCCTCACAGGGGTCGAATCCAGGGCCTTCAGATTACGAAGGAATCCTGCTGACTATTCAGCCACTGGGGACGGTATTTAGTAGCCTGTGAATTCAAACTTCTGCTATTTCGCTACATGTAGCACCATCACCAGTCGGTTGAGCAGTAAGTCACAGTTTGCAATTGGTGACTGTAATTTTATGGTTATTCAAAAATTTCATCAATTCACTGACTGTTTCTACAAACATCTTTGTCTTTTTTTTCACTATAGGTATTCAGAAAGGCATATATGGATATGAAAAACAAGTCAATTCAACGGATACAAGAGAGAAAGAATCGCGATAATTCGGCAGAAGATGAAGCATACATTTGAATATGATTATTTTGTTGAATTAAAGTAAGAGTAAACAGACAATGAACATTGAATGTTCCTTTTAGATTCAAATATAGTTTTCATAGCAAATAAATATTACAGGATAGATTTTATTATGAAGAGACTCTAACTTTAAAACCTGTCAAGGTCAGGTTTCAGAACTAGCAAGCTACAATTCAACATCTTGTTTCGGGAATTAAGCATACACTGTAATTTACGAGGGAGCATACAAACATTGCACTGATTAGTCTGAATGTTGAAACACATGCCCGAAATCCCAACAAGCATGATAACGCCACAATGAAACAGTATGATTCTGTCGAGCAAAATTAACACCCAACAATTAATCAATGGCAATAAATGATAGTATTTGTGCCATACTCTTTTAGTTCGAAGACCCACTGACCAGTTATTTCACCTTATCTTGAAACTATTGAGGAGTGCTCATCTGCAACTCCATACGAAACGGAGTCATAGACCCTAGGACCTTCACACATCCAAGTTCTGTCAATCTATAAGTCACCCTGATCCCACTCTAATATTACCAGTGAATGATAGTCCACAAACCTGACTCGATTGACTTTACTAATTATAGACTCTTGTTGTTAAGACATGAAGTTCAGTTACTTGATGATGATACTAGACGGTAGCCATGCTGTATTAGAGATGCATAAAAGTTGAAAAATACAATCCACTAGATTCTAATCTAGTAAGTAAATCCATTGACAGATTTGATAGTCATGGAGTGGACGGCCTGTGAGGATGACAGTTTATACTCATGAATAACTGAGTTTCAACATACAACTTTGCACAAAAGTGCAGCTGTTCAACTTGCCACATTTCATTTAGCACACAAAGGTAGAGAGAAGAAAACAAATCAACAGAAAAGTACAAGAAAATCAACAGTAATATGGAAAAGCATGAGGACTTAATGGATAAAGGAGACTACAAAGAATTAATACATCTGCGCTACTGTGAACGCTTTTGAACCATATCACCGACAGTGTAAAGCCATTGTTTCTTAGCATCTCGAGAAACACAGTCAAGCAGTCTACACTTCCCTACATGACTGGCTCAAAAGTGCGTGGATTGAAAGCAGGTTTTAGTTTGACCACCCATAACTCTTTAAGAATCTAAACCTATGTTAGTTAACATTGCTAATCGAGGAAGGTGGTGGCTGGACATGCGTAACACGTCGTGTCCTAGTCATGCCAATCGACACAGTTTCATCGATTGACTTACTCTGAGTACCTAACCTCAATATCATCCACCATATTATACCACTTAACACGGGAGGTAGAACGCAAACATTTGTGGTAAAAAGAAAAGTTAGTCTCTTCGTTGATGAAAAGTCCCAGGTTAGGACGAAACAGCTGTTCAGGACTTCCTGGTTTGTAATGATCTCGCTACAATTGATGTTAGTTCGTGACGAAATCCACGTTAAGATACAATATGAGTTGTCGATTCTAGCTTATACAATATATTACTCTGGTGAATTGTTTGGCAAATATCTGCTTTGATAGCAGCAATGTATAATATTCACATACTTTGATTGTTGAAATTCAAAGTAAGCGATCTACGATAGCGCGACAAAAATGTGCAATGTGATGACAGAATTCTCCGAGATAACTAAGTTTACTCAAAATTTATACACATTGAGAAAAGAAAAACAAAAAGAAATCAATCACAGAGATCAATAATAATAATAATATTAAAAAAGAAGTTTCTATATACTGCATCATTTCATACACACGCATAGATACACACAAACATACATACCCATGTACATTATCAAAATGGTTAGTTCTTTCTTCTTCTTCTTCTTCTTCTTTGACATGATTCACAATGATCACACGTCAACCGAATTCAAAGTGGAATGACACCGGAAATAGGGGCATATTTCAAAACTAATGTACAATGAAGTTAATGAAATATATAATGCGTATGAGAAACAAAAAAGACAGAGGTGAGTATAGAGACATGTCGAAGAGGAGATATAAAACAGATCATGAGGAAAATAAAATAAGTAAAATATTTAAGAAAAATCAAAGAAAATTGAAAGTTAAGAAGTACCAAAATATCGCTGACCAAAATGACTTGGTACAATTGGGTGAATTTCTGAGGTGACGACTCTTAATGCTGGATTACGTGTTAAAATGTTGACAAGACCTGCAGAGGGAAAAAAACAGAACTTAGATAAGACTATTTTAATACGGTAATACAGTAACAAAACCGCGGGGTTGTGAAACTTTGAGAAGTGATAAACATTGTGCTCGAGATACGAACAATTACACTTGGGTTTTTATTAAAAATTGAGTGCCAGTTGGTGAGAGCTACTGTATATCAAGCTAGACAAATTAATTACTGAGAAATGCATAACTTTCTAGTGGAATTGATTGTAAAACATTATTATTTATTGTTCACTTGGACTCCGGGTGGAACCTGGGGCTTAAGCAACACATTTCCATTTCAACGTGTTCTCTCTAGTCCTTTTTAGTGGGCTCGACGATTGCTTACAAGCTCTTATTCTCTTCTTACACGATTTTCTCCATATCATTCTCGTACACCCAACTCGTCGTTTCCCGTTAGAGGGCTTAGCAGGCGATGTCATTTAACTGTCTCTTTAGCGTATGTCCAATCCATCTCGATTTTCTTCGGCATATTTGTTGAATGATGGGTTTATGGTTGGTTCGTTCCCAGAGATTCTGTTGCTAATCTCTTCTGACGATTTGATCTTCCGTATGGAACAATGACAGCTGTTGATAAAATTCGGCAGTCTGTTGGAAATCCTTTCTGAGATGCATGCGCCAAGTCCCTGAACTCTATATAGCAGCACTGATTTGACATTATTGTTGAAAATACAAATCTTCTTTATGCTTAGTGCTTGGTTAGCTAACTGGAGATGGTGTACGAACAACCGAATGTAACACAATAGTATGCCAAAAGACGAAGGAACTTGACCACATGCCTTCAGCTGGGTGTAGTAGATTTCCAAAATGATTACAGATTAGTGAAGGCTTGTCTTGCTTTTCCGAACCTACATTTGACATCCTCGTCCTTGCCACCTGTAACCGAAACAATACTCAGTCTAGGTGAATCAGACGACCTTTACCCAGTTAACTAATTTGACACATTTCAAAAGAGCATATGTATAAAGTGACCAGAAGTAGAATGATAATGCGATAGACAAAAAAGTGAGAGAGGTAAGATGACATTTACACGAAGATAAGTCCCGATGATAACGATAATAAGTGAATAAATATGCACTAAAGTGAACCGTTTTATGTCGTGTTACCAAGATTTTTTAACACTAACCAGTGGACCTATTCGGTATCTTACTGATCTCTGAAAGTAGTCTAGTTTTCTCAAACATATATATTTTTACAGTCAAAATGGCAATGAAAATTAACATTATCGATTTTCGTGCACGGCTTTGTTTCCTAAATTGGTCATGAATTGGATTCTGTGCATAAACCTACAGCAAGACAATTTAAATCAACAACACATTATTAGTGCTAATTTGACAAGGATGAATAAGTGAAAGCAATTCAAAAACACTGCTGAATACTCATTCACCCGGCCTCACTGTCGAAAGAACCTTATATCAAGAACCTACTACTGAATTAATAACTAGTAACTAATTGTTTGGACTATTTGACAAGACCTGATTAAGTGGAATAGGGTTTATACGAAGAAACTATTGGATAAAATTCAAGTAGGCAAGACAGTCAGAAGTAATCGAGTTGCAGAAAGATTCCCACTGCAACTACATCATTCATATCAATATAAAAATGAAGAAGTTGAGACAAATTCAAACATATGATATTGTAAAGGTAGATGACGAGAGACTTGGTAAAGGTAAGTTTATTTGGAAATTGGTATCTCTACATAGCCAAATTATGCATACCCTGTCTTTAATGCACAATTTGCACAGATCTTAATGTTGTGCTACTTCTGGCCTTCATATTGTGTGTTTCTTTGTGTTCCTTTCACGTCTCCCATATATATTCGCTACGCTGAATCATTTGCTTTCTCTGACATCAGATCTATTTCCCTCCTATTTGATGTTTTTATGCCGATTAATGCCTCTTCATATACTACTGACAAATATCATCAGTAGCACATGCCACAATGTAACAGTTAGGAATTAATCCCAGTTAACACTGGTGAATTTTGTGTGACTGACAAGACGATAAAAAATGTTATGCTGCTATATACTACTGAGTGATTGATTGATTGATATGAATATTTGGATACTACTCACATCAAGCAGTAGTGCCTGCTATCCAGATTGAAGTGATCTGAACACTGGACGGCTATTTCTATCGGAAGCAGTGTAGCCAGTTGTTTGAGCTGTTTAGTCGATGTAAGCGGTAACCAACTATTCCTATCAATCAATCGGTTGTATACAGCAACAGGCATTTATGCTTGCTTTCTGGATTATTATTTATGGTATCACGCAGATCACATCTTGGGATTTGAATAACTTCGGTCTCCAAAGGAAACCGTATTGAAGTTTCACGTCGAATAGTGCAAAATGTAAGTCGCGAATTTGGTTTAAGAAACAATTATTTGAACATAAAGGAGATGACAATGGCAAATAACTTACTTTTTGGAGAAGCAAATAACGACAACAAAATCACATTCTCTACAGAAACATTGTACGTTCTTAAGACATCTAAGGCTTTCAGTACTGTAGTTCCAGTAGCTATGAAAAATTGAAAAACTTGAATAATTAGTGGAATGAAGACCATATAGTATAAAATATAGTACATTATAAAAGTTTATCGTAGGAAGAAGGTCTACTTTTGATAGGTTGAAAAATAGGTACAGTTTAACACTTACTAGCCTGCGGTACTTCTGAGTCTTAGTGGGAAAACTAACTATCAAGCAGCACATTTTTAACTCATTTTGCAGGGTTAACACAGTTAGGCGACATTAAGTTACGCATGAGTCTCAGCATTATTTTAGTAACCTTAAGTATGATGAGGCAAGAATGAGAAAGAAATGTGTGAAACAGGTCATTAAGTGCTACAGCACACAGAATACAATTACACCGGAAAAAAAAGCCGAAGACATTCAGATCTTAATACAATAGCAGGTAAGAGGTCGTTGCTACCAGTTTAATAAATGCATGATAATGTAGGACAGCTAGCTAGTCAGCTGAACGGTTACATGGTTTGCATTTGACCACAAGAAAATCACAAGAGTGGACTCGTTCGCCTGACTGTTGGGCGGAATGACAGATTCATATGTCTTCTCATGATTCAAAGAAGATTGATGTAACGAAGCTTCGTGAATAAGGCAGATTTATAATAATATCTCAATCAATGAAGTAGTGAATGAATATGGATAAGTTGCAAGGACGTATTACTCGACATTCTGACTAACACCTCTTATTACAGGCTTCTGAGAATAAAACTAGCAATTTTAAGTCTTCTGGAACGTGTGCACACTGGTGAGTAGTTTGAAAGCAAGATGAAATACCTGTTCAGCGCTTTTCCTACGGTTAATCATCTCACATCACATTGCAAAGAAATCCACTGACAAATTAATAGTCAATCTGTGGGAAATTGATTTCTCCGCCTAAAACAACGCCGCCTGAAAATTTTAGAGAGTAGAAACAATATCCTGTTATATTTTGAGCTAATTTTTCAAGTTTATCAAATAACATGTAGAAAAATCGATCTGCACAGCTACGTTTCCCCAATATCCTGCTGTAAATAACAAACAGCAGCAATATTATGAAGTCACCATACGCATGTATGTCCCTACTGCTGATATGCTTTACTGTTTAGATAGTGGTCCGAAGTGAAGGTTTCGGTGATTCAAAGTTTATAAACTAACACATTTCAAGTAATAATAGTTTGATTAGATTTCATTATCAATGACATAAAGAACGTACCTAAAATAGGATACATTAACAAAACTTTTCTTTCCTCAATATTCGGTGGTAATTTGGCGTAATAAACTTTAGCTTCAACAATTTCACTCTCTTCAGCTGTTTGAATCAATATTTTCCCAATACGCATTGATCGACAACAATCCCGTAAACCACGTTCCATTGCCTCACCTGATCGCATAACAGACACACCACAATTACCACGTAGAAAACTGGTTCCATTGAATGAATGACCTGTACGTAAATATATACAGATAATATACGAGTGATAGTAAACTGCATGAGGATGTCTTATTTGAAAGAAACATAAAAATTTGTCTTCCAATAGTCCTATTCTTGTAAAGTTGAAATTCTAAATTTCATTTAGTGCAATAGTGATAATAAATGAATAGGACTGAGTTCCATGACAAAGGCCATTAAAACCTGCCCTGAAGATGTTGTCTAGAAGGACAACGAAAGCTTCGCAGCTAAATCAACCAGCTCAGAGAACACAACTAGATCAAAAGATCACCTTAGTTTACTAGGTTGTAAAGGTTTATTATGGAAGGTTGTACAACAAATGTACACCCGTATGGAGTTTTAAAAGTCGTTAGCAAATTCGACTGTATACATTCACGCTTTTCACAGCTAAAAGGTCTTCGAATGGAATGCTCAAGAGATACTCTGTTTCATCGACCAAAATGTGTTTGGCAGCATGTGATTATAAAGAGAGTGCTGACAAAGTGCATAAATTTAGGTCACGGGATTTCATTCAATAGTATAAGGGAGTAACGAAGTCCGCTAGAAATACCCAATATCACTATTCCTAATTATTCTTATTATAACGTATTTCAACAAAGGTGTATAATTCGCTATGATTTCACAGGAACGGACTTACTATCAAGGAAAGAAGTGGTTAGCCTGGAGTATAGAGGGGATTTAGTCATCACTGTGGGAAGACACCGGTAATACAACTTATTGAACAACTTAAGCAAAAATGTAAACTCGTCATGCACTCTGCCTCTGTCAAATGCTAGGTGATGACATAGGAGTACTATATACCAACTTCTAGTTTAAGGATAGGGAACTAAGTGCCTGTCGGCATTAAGCAGATTCAGGTAAGTTGTTTATAACCAAATTGAGATTTTGTTGTTCTGTAGACACCTTAATTTTTAATTTTAGCAAAAGATTTGTGAAAGTCAAATCTTGATTTCCTGTAATACTTTGAACTATGATGAATTAAAAACTGACAAAAGATATCCCACTTAAGAAGACGCTATTGCTATTAGTAACAATGAGATATTAGATACATTAAATTAGTTGCCACAGTGGAGTGACATTGGTTAGACGATCATCTGAAAATATTCAGAACACTGGACGTTGGACAACAATAAGTGCTTATTACTTCATATGAAACTGAATGCCCGACTTTTAGTATTTCATCTAGCAGCTGCCTAATGAGGAATGCTGAAATGGAATCCATCTCTTTTCCATAAAATGCCTAAATAAAAAGCTGTACAATTTTAAACCCACATACTTTGGTATTTGTCATGGTCTGAAGTTTAATTATCAAACTTTTTGACTAGATCACAGCATCTTTTTTGGCTCTCATTCAGCCCATTTAACGTCAAAGAATTGACATAGGATACCGAAGTTATCTTTTCGATATTGACTAGAATTGCATTTTGTTCGCTGACATCCTTCAAGAACCAGGTGGCTAAGTTTCCTGCTTGTAACTTGTTAGCAGACATGGTAGACAAGTGTTGTCCACCACTTAGTAACCGACCCTCACATTGAATACCGTCCAGCGACCCATTTAAATACACAAACTGATTTATGAAGACCCAAGTTTCCATCTCGATAGTCATTAACTTATTACAAGTAAACTTCAGAACGCACACAATTATCACTGATTTGCAGTTATTGCTCATTTTTTTTACTAAAAAATGTCAGTGTAAATAATTGCATTCATGTTCACATGGTGATAAACCATACCTATTGTTTAGGGGCTGATAATACAACTTGTTTTCTCAAACGTCAGTGGGTGCAGCGAGGTTCGAACCAGTCAGATACATAAACTCATGGACCACAACAGCAGGAGAAACTGTCCTGCATTTGGAGAACACGAAAGTCGTGACAAGTTATAAATTCTATTTAAAGATGATTACGACTCTTCATAGTGTCGGCTTTTTTGCCTAGGTGAATCAAGTGATTTTCGTAAGACAGAACAACCCACGTAGTGTGAAAAGCAGAGACAGCTGTGATTTTCCGTGTGAGAAACATGGAAAATACAAATTGGTGCACGATACATTGATCTTTCAATGAGGCAAGTTTAAACAGTTGTGACCGAACTTATCGCTATAAACTCTTTAGAACGCAGCAATAGTGACCAGTTTAATTTTATTGACGTTAAATTCCAACAAAATATGCAAGATGTTAGTGCACATTTGATTTATAATGGGTTACGTTAACATATTTAAAGGTTCTTCCAGTGTATTTGGAAAATTTAGGCATTGATTTTTAGAAAACACTGTAATTCAAAACCTCACAACACAAACTTTATCCTAAGCAATTAAATAGTATAACTCACACACTAAATGCAGTTCAAAGACTAGACAAGTTCGAATTATATTGTTTGGAGTTTATTAGTCTGCACATTCAACTTTAAACAGTAGTTTAAATGTTAGAATTCTACTTAATCTACTGATATTTGTGTAGGGAGGTAGTATTAGCAATGTAATAGGTGCAGGTCGTTGCCAAATGAATAAGCATGCATCATGCACCATAAACAGGAAACTTTACACCAATCGAATCTTGTCAACCTAGATTTTCATTTTATCTTTAATCATTACCAATACATTACAGGGAAATTTGCTATACTCGTGTTTTCTCCTTATTTTCTATCAGTGTCAGATGACCATACCTGTAGGCGTTGTAATGCACACATCTTCATACGGAAGTTGGTTTAAACCTTCTTCGACGACTAAACGAATCTACAAGAAAGTATACGAAGATGGTTAGTGGTAAGAACTTACTAGACGATCAGCATGGAACAAAAATTCATTTCTTGTAGTCTCTCTATCAGTCAAAGAATTAACATTAACTGAAGGATATACCTATTCCTAATAACTGTCTGTAGCACGCGTACATGATCAGATTGTGGAAGCAAGATTATATGCTTTGAAAACTTCGACAACACGGAATCTACTTCAACGTTATTCAATGAAGAATGAATTCCTTTTAGAGGTGAACCAATAGATTCATCTTCATCACTGACATTTTCAGCTCGTACCTTGCGGAATTGGCAATATTTATTATATGAAACCGCTTACTGTAATATAGTTGTCGGGCATATGGATTATATAGTAGCTGAAAATAGACTAATTTTACCAGGCGTTGAATACCGATAACGTCTGAAATTAGAAACAAGATACTGTTATTGATTTCTAAAAATGTGAAAAAATATTTTCATGGGTAATAATTACATTTTAATGAAATTCAAGGACTGAACAATACTGCAAGTAGGTTAGTGATAGTACTAGTTGACTCTTGAGGCTTAGGTAGTTTGAAAATGATTCGATCTCTAGACCGACTGTTTGAAAGTCGAGTGCTTAAGCAAATAGACAGAAAGCCTCAGGAGAAAAGTAATGTACTGCCCCAAGACTTACAGTATCAATGGCTTTTTGTAAAAATATACATATAACCCAAGGGTGAGTACAGACAGAATTAAGTAAAGATAGAAGACACATTTTTGCGTTTGATTTGCACCCAGTGTTTATACAATTCACACAGGTAAACCCTCAACCCTTGAACCAATTTATGACGAATAGATCTATATATTAACACCTAAAGTTTAACTTGCCACAATTTACAGCAATGTACGAAAAACAAACAGACCGAAGGACAATAAAAGTTGCTTTTAACAAAAGTTAGTGTTGAGCAGTATATACGGTCATGTAGAGAACAATTGACAATAGTAGTGACTGGGAATAAATACAAAATGTAGATATAGATATTCAGGTGAGCAGATGACAAAATTTGTGAAGTATGCCTTTATGCACAGGAACCCACACAGATATAATTTATGATACTTTATTTACATCTACTTAAGAGTCACATCTAATGGATAATCGTCAAACAAAACAGAGGTGCAAATAAGAGTTAGCGACGAACATAGATGTGTGGCCACTTTGTTTCAGAGTCAAAGTGGCAGGCCCAGAAGTCGTTCTACGGGCTCTGTGGTTACGCCATTTTTTCGTCCAATGTGGCAAGAACATATTAACTTCTACAATGTCGCCCAAGAGGAGTGAGTCGTGGGCACACGGTCTGTTAGGGTCTTTACATTCACTGTTACCTTCAGGTGACCCAATAATAGATAGGCTGACACACGACGTTTTAGTCCCAAAAGAATTCCGATGACACGAAAAGGACATCTACATATTTAGACGCTTACAATTTAACTGCAATAACACTTGCAAATTTTAGGCAACAGACTAGCTATAACTTGGAGACTTCAGTAATCAAGCAACAAACTGAATGAACTGAATGTGTTTAGACAAGAACACTTTTAATGTTTTGGACTTCATAATAAGGCACCTGAGTTTTACTTGTGTATCACTGTACGTGTAAGGCATAATTTCTGTGATAGAGACATACCGTAAATTACTAACTAGTTGATGAGTATTCACGTGAAACCCTGTACCTGTTCAAAAGATCCGTAACCTTGAGAATTTGGAACGGCCTCCAAAATCTGTAGGTCGAAACTGCAACTTCGAGTCCGAGTAACAACTCTCAGACATTAAATTCTGCTTTCTGCCCCATCCTGTACTTTATTTACCTAAGAAATTCGGTGTTTTATACTTTAATAGTCAAGTTAAGTGCCTACTGCCCATGAAATGGGCAGCTTCAGCTGTTCAAGCTGAAGAAGTAGAAAATGAAAATTCTTTCGTCTTAACAATGTACTAGGGTGGCTTATGATATTCAGCTTGATAAAATATTAAATCATTACTTGAAGCCGTTGACGCAGTTCTACAAGCTGAGGAAGTATTCAGATTAAAATGGAAGTAAACTGTAGGAAATGCTAGGGTGAAAGACGTTTGAGTACTACCGAGATGATTGATTAGGAACAAACAAATTCTCAGGGCAATTATTTCAATATCTACATTAACAAGATTAGTGCAGCCAGGAATAGCTAGTCACACTATTCACACATAACATTTTGTCTTCTTGATTATATTTGCCTCGATGATAATAATTATAGTGGTATTTCATTTAAACAGATGGGTGCGCATGAACAGCATACCGATTTAACAGACACGGTCGAATATTTAAACATCTGGATTATAACTTATTGCATGAGAACAGGGTCAAACTTCATGACCATCTGGGCATCCAGATTGGACTAAACTCGTATCATGATGGATGCTTTTCAGTAATTGATACTCATAAGAGATATAACTTAGTCTTACTTTGGATCTATTCTACGACTTCATTATGCTGTCAGCAAACTTACGTGATTGTAGGCTGCATATGAGTACTGGTGATTTAAATTGATAATTTGTCAGAAATGTCAATTGCAGTTGTTCACATTCGTGCTGACAGTGCCAGTGCTATATCGCGACCTGAAGAGAGACGAGTGACTACTAAACTGTTGTTTCATTGTGTGCAATGTGGCCTCAAGGATGCGATCGTTTCGATTCCGCTGAAAAATTATATTGAAATTTTGGTCAAATTCAAAGGGATTCGAATTTTGAATTAGGAGACGCATTTCCCAGGAACCATCTTGGCCAGAAAATTTGACTGTACAATTTTCTTCATACTGTCCGAAACAAGAATGAAATATGACATTGGCGTTGGGGAAAGCGTCAATTCAGTAATGTTATTATCATACCCATCCTCTGAAGGGGTTACTACAGACGGGGTAGCCCGAAATGATTTGACCCCATAAATTCTTGTGTGTGTGAGAAATCTTATCATTTCCATCTGCTGTTCAAAGTATCAACTCAAGTTCAGTGAGCCCAGCATACCTCTCACCAGTCATATTTCCCGTAATTAGTCCCCTTGGCATTAAATAGCTTGTTTTGTAATACCACAGTGATCACGATTTAAGAAAAAATACAACAACAGTCAACAAATGTATCCACAAGAATATTAACTAGTACATAATAATTCTGATAATAATGTAATAATGGCCGGATATTAAAAGGATTGAATCAACTCATGGGCTGAATGATGATCTCATATTACCTGGAAGGCATCATCAAAAAGGATGAAGTCATCCGATAGGTTAAATATAGATCCTCGTGTTAAAATGTCTGGCATGTCTACTTGACTGCATCTTTTCGGGAATAACTTTACAAAGTTTACTTATTAGGCCAATCTGTTAGTTTGTATAGTTCCCCTTACTAAGACCAAATTGTTTTCTAGGATCCTTCAAATCTTGACATCACTCGCAAGCAGCATTGCAAATGAACTTTCAGGTAATTCCTAAGTTTACATCAGAATGCAAAGGCACTTAAGATGGTGTCCTGTGGGCCATCTCGAGAGAGTAATCCTCTCAGTGAGTAATTCACTTAGTACCACCCTTAATTTTCCCCCTAACTTATCATACCTAGTATCATCAGAACCAAACTCCTTTTAGTTTATGAAGTACGCTCAAATGGGTGGCTTTGTCAAATACTTTGTTATGATCGGTGAATACCACATTAGCCTGCAAGTTATTGTGCCTAGTTTCTACTCAGTAACCCTAATTTCCAGTAAGATCATCTTGGTTTAAATCAGTGTCCTTCTTCCACCAACAGACCATTTTTCCCACATGAAATTATAACTCCGTATATACTTCATTCTCATATTATATATGGGATTATCCTTTTTTGAGACAGGGTAGGCTTACGAAGGAACCATATCTCACAGGGTTCTGAGCGGAAGTGTCTATCTTGCGTTACCGCGAGCTGGTTCGGCAAAAGTCCTCTCCTCCTTCTCAGTCTCGAAAGTATATATTCAAACTTCTAACGTAGTTCTGGCTTCTCTGCGGAATCCCGTGAGTGGTTCACGTGTCTGATCCGCGTCTACCCTGTTAAATTTATTTTGTACGGAATATTCATTTCCTATCTCACTATCCATTCTAGTTTCAGATGGAACACAAATAACCTCCCACTGGTTGTTTATCAAGACGTTGACGACTTAAGTAGCTTTCTGTCTTCATATTCCCTCTGCCCTGCTTTATTCTTTCTGTCTGAATCCAACCGAGGAAAGCTCTGAATTCCCCGATCAAGTATAATTTCAGCTACGGATAGGAAATTTAGGGCGGAAGAAGCGGGTGCAGTGAGGCAAACAAGCGAAATGTGTCCGAGGTTCCATTTATCAGTAGCTCTCTCCTTCACCTTTGTGAAAGCCCTCTAGATCGTCTCAACAGAATATTCGGTTGGAACATTGTATTGGGAGTGATATGTAGGGGAAAGAGGTTGCTAGGTGTCAATCTAGTTCTAGAAGCATAAGAATATCGATTCTCAAGTATTGGTTTTGTAGGGATCTTTGTTTGATTGCAGCTCATGATGAAATCCTCCATGCAATATCGATTCTAACTATTATCGGATATTAATAAATAAGGAATACCAGAATAATTAAGTAGCTGACGTGGCTTGATTAGTATTCCACTCAGTGTTACAGAATACATAGGAAATATCCCTAACCACTTGGGCATTGCATTAAAAAGTTCGTACATCTAAACGAGCCTGCAGAGACAGCATGAATGCGAGATCATGATTTGTTTGGCAGTTGCTGGGAAAATGGTTGGCTTGCGTGGAAGTTTTCTGCTTGGGTAGGTTTGCTGAACTTTCGAACGTCTTCGGTATGTTCCTGTTGGGCCAATGCACAAACTGCTTTTATTCTATGAATGCTAAAATGTGCTGAGTGATGTCTATGAAGAGGAGGACTATAGTGGAGCCACAACGTGATCGGTAAATATTATGCAGTCTCCTGTGACAGATAATGTTGTTGCTGTAACTAAAACTGTTGGGCGCTGCGACAATGAACGTAAGAGGTAGGCATCAAGAAAAACTCCGAAATCTGTTGTAGAATCTGTTGTAGATCGGGTGTGGTTAGCAGTGTGAGCTGCTGAAAGGAGTTGAGTTGCATCTACGAAAATTCTGCCCATATCGTCCACAACTGAAGGTAGTATAGTGACAGCATTTTCATTTTTAAAAATAGGATTACTCAACAACTATGAGAATATATCCATTTGGCAGAATGTAAAAGTGAACTTGTACTAAATATCAGAACTATGTCCTAGTCACATGATAGTCAACCACTGGAGACAATTTACATTATATGCTGAAATAAACTTCTGTTAGTGGTGATGAACACAGACATGATGACACTCCGCTAATAATTATTGCCACATCCTTGCATATTGTAATTTTCATGTGACTAGTGGTGATTTTAATGTAAACATCCACCTCTTGTGGCTGACCTGGCATCCCTTTTACATTTCCATGATCGTATATGCATGTAGACCTTATTCATCAGTGATGTTCGGTATATTCTGTCTTTGCTTGGCAGCTGTTTTCACATTTATTACCCTCATGTAATTTCGCCTTTTATACTTAAGGAACAAATAAATTGTCGTGCTCATGTACCTCTGGTTTAACTTTAGTGAAACCCTGGCTATGTCTAGTCAGTATTGGTGGGAGAAACTAATATATTTATAAGTAAAATAAATTCTGCACTTTACGTGGAATTATCGTCAACAAACGTTCGTTGTACCAAGCATTACAGATGCACTTACGAAAGCTTTGACTCTCCTGTCAGTGACACAGTGAGGTACAGCAGCACTTTAGGGTGGTAAGGGATGTTGTCGTTGACTCAGAGTACTCTGTATACCACACGTGTTTTTATTCTCTAACTCCTACATTATTTGTTCTGTTTAGACCAAAAACTAAACCGCCGAGTTGACTATCGAAAATAAGAGAATCAGAATCTTAGTGCGATGGTGGTTTAGCTAGCTAAGGATAAGGCATGACCCACCAAAAATGACACGAAAACAGGCCAAACGAGGTAGTTACCGTGAACTTTCAGCCTAACGAGTCAACTTAAGCTGTGAATTTCAGCATCCAGTATTGAGTGAAGAGTACAGTAAGCAGATGATTTTGGCGGACTAACTGGCGGAAGGATCAACTCCATTCACAGTAGTAACAAAGTCTTAACACACAGCTTACTACAAACAACATATAATTAATCCCTGCACTACTCCTTTTGGAGTCAACCAAAGCTACGACACTCGATTGGCGGGACGAACTAGGCAGAAGTTTAACGGAGATCAGTAACCTTCACCTCACAACCAAGAAGCGAGCACAAAGAAATCAAATTGCTTTATACTAGCTCGTAAAAACGATATTGGATATTTGAATACTCATCGGAAATGAAATACAGATCCATGTTAAATGTATACTTGTTCTCTTTAAGACAGAAGCCGGAATGTGATACCGTCGTTAACAAAGTATCAGGCTTACTTATGTAGGTGATTATCACATTGTATGGGTAGCTCGCCAGAGCATAATATGCTATCTAATGGAAGATCACAGGTTCCGATTTGACACCAGATATTAGTAAGAAATACAGAAGGGGGTCTCGAACATTATTGAACTTCGATTTACAGACTTTAATTGCAGACTATAGAAACTATGAATGAGAAGCAGAACACGAATGACGGACAGAACACTTTATCAATAATAGTAACAATCACGGTACTAAAGGAAC